TTCCCCCATTCCCCTCCTCCTTTTTTTTTTTTTTTTTTTTTTTTTTTTGAGAGGTTTTTGCTGTAGGGCGCGTGCGCTCGCCAGACAGACAGAGAGAGACATAGAGACAGAAAGCGAGAAATCACCCCCCAGAGGGGATGGTAACGCCACAGTCCCTTCTCCTCCATTCTCCTCTCAGGATCTTGGGCACGCACGCACACGCGCCCGGCGTGAGTTTTAAGCCACCGGGTCCAGGACGCGAACTGCGGGCAACTACGTGGGAGTCCAGCGACATAGCCATTACGCTAACTGCTGGTTCCCCCCATTTCTTCTTGAATCTAGCCCAGGAAGATTTGAGCTGTCCTTACCATAGCCCCAAGACTGTTTTTGTCCAGCTTTTAATTAATTTAGTATGGCCAGGCTGGGACTTAGTTCTTACTTATTTGTTTGGTTCCTCCTATGTCATTGTACAGTAGATGCCTTCAACTGTGAAACTCCTCCCTCTCAACTTCCAACATTGTGTCCTTCTGGTGTCTGTCTTCCACTTCCCTGGCTTCTCTGTCCTTAACTCCCTTACCTTTCTCCCCTAAAGGCAGTTGTAATCCTAGGCTTCTCTCCTACATGCTTGACCTTACCACCACCTGTACCTGAAGAGGCCTGAGCATGCTGTGTTATGCTACATTAGCTTCCTGACAGCTTTTGCCTGCACCATGGAACCACACAGGCCTTTCCAAAGCATCAGCATGAATTGGCCTCCTGTTGACTTTAGAATTTGAATGTCCTATATGATCTGATTCACACACCCCTGCCTTTGTGGGCTCATTTCTTACTGTGTTCCCTCACTCCTCATCTGTGCTGGGCTTTTACTGTCTCTTAACTCTGCCCCTCAAGGCCACTGCACTTGTGATGCCACTGCTTAGAAGGCACCCTCACCTTCCCATGTACCTCACTGCTACACATTCACACCTAATGGCTTCTCCTGTCCCAAGCAGCACCAGGATTTTTTTGTCCCTTGCCCTAACTGGTTTTTCTCTGTGTCTGTGACTGATAGGATGCTGTGTAGTTGCTGATTTAACTGTCTGTTGTCTGCCTTTCCCACTAGCATATTGGCTTTGTGAGAGAAGAAGCTTTGCCTTATTGAGGCTGAATCCACAGTGAATTTAGATTTCTCTAGGAGGGAGTGGAATATGAATATAAATGGATGATCAGAAGCCTTTTGGTTGAAGAAATGACATCAAATTATGTTTTCAGTTTTTGGTCTTAATGAGTCCCATGGTTTAGGTTTGTTTTTAGTTTTAGCCATTTTGTTGTCTTCTTGGGGGGGGTAGATTTTTTAAAAACTCACTGTATAAGGATGACTTGCACTCTCTGACTTCCACATTTGTTCTAAATGCCCCTACTTTGCCTTTGTCTTTTTATGGTCTTTGACTTGTAAAATGTAAGTGTCTCTTCTATTAACATGACACATTATGCACACTTGGGCCCTGATAATTTGTATAGGAGCATAGGGGTTTCATCCCAACATTGCTAACTACCTGTTCACACTGCATCTGGGGTTGTGGGGGCCATAGCCTAGACTCCAGTTTATTCTCTTGGAGGTATAGGAACACAAACCACCCACCATGGCTGGCAGCTTCTGAGGAGAAATTTCTTCTAGGGTTTAGAACTAGCTTTTGTTTTATCCTGAAGGATCTGGTTTATTTAGTGTTCTTTGATAAAAACTTGTAAGACATCAGTTTCTTGCTTGTTCTTTAACTTCTTGGAAATTTAGTGATAAATTTAAGTCTCTAGCATAGAAACTATCTAGTCCTTGTGGCCTATGTGTTTATGATCCCCAGCCTTGGTTTTCTGCCTATATTTATCTTCTCTTTATTTTAATTCTTTTCTTTATTTTATTATTATTTAATGTCTGTGTTCTTAAAAGTTATCTTAAAATGTTTTAGGAAGCGAAGCAAAGCTTAAACCTTTTTTTGTGTGTGTGTGTTTAAAAAGCACCTGCTAAACTTTGCTAATGAAACTTAGATTATTTTTCTAAATTTTATCCCTTTTGGTTTTTTTTGAGCAGAAGGGAGAGGATTTCTTTGTTTTTTGCATGGTTTACTTTTAGTAGATAAAATAATAGCATTTTTCTTTTTCTTCATATACTTATATAGATGTGTTAATACGTATATTTAAAAGAGTAGAATTGCAGTGCTCAACTATCTGCTTGTTGACTGAACTGTCTGGTAGATTTTAAGCCATTTTTCATAAATTGATCATTACTTTTATACAGGGGGAAATGAGTCGCAACCAGAAGTCCAAGAAGACCCCAGAGAAGTACTTAAAAAAACATTGGAATTCTGCTTATCTAGGTAAGGCTGGTAGTGATTTTTTTCTAGAATATCTAAGGTTTTGTACAGTAGTTATTGTCATATATAAATGTGATGTTTTGAGTAACAATAGTGTGTCTATCTGTTAATATCCTGTGTGTGTGTCTGTGTGTGTGTGTGTGTGTGTGTACCTTTAATAAGTAGTCTAAAATACTAAGTAGTGACCTATTGCCATGTTGGAGAACTGAACCATAAGTATCAGATCAGTGATCCTCAAAGCTGGGTCTAGAGATTTATCTTGCTGATCATCCTCAGATTTGCTGTTTAAATAGTTTTCTAGGTTCACTCTGTGCCCACTAAATCAAGAGTCCTTGAGAGTGGAGAGTTAAGGACTTACTTCTCACTAAAGTTTGAGAACAAATGTTCTGCGTCATTTCTCAAAATATACGAGACACAGCAGTAGCAAATAGTTTTACTTATATTGTACTCATATTTTTAGGTTTTTTTTTTCTTCTAAGCTGTGCCTTTTCTATTGAAAAATATAATAGAATTTTTAACATTCAAAAGGCAGATGCACAGAGAGGAAGATAGGATTGAGTATGAAGATAACTGATTGGCCGTATGTAAAGTTTTCTTTCAGTAAGTGGTGGTATTTCAGGTGTTTTCTTTGGAGCCGTAAAGATCTTACAAAGGTACCTGAACACTCCTCAGAGGCCATGGAGCTACATGAGGCTGAGCCATGAGCTCTGTGCTGGCCTTCTTTTCAGTTCCATGGAGTCTCAGATTAGGAACACAGTATTCCATGGTGACAGTTTAAGAAACAAAAGATGCTGTGGCTAAAGTAGAAAAGTCCAGGTCTGTGCCACTCCCATACCTACTGTTCTTCTGATGACCAGCTGAAATGCTGAGCAGAGCAGCATTTCCCTGCATGTCAGTTACTGTGACTAGACACGATTTTCATTGGCCCTCACAGAGGTAGTACGGTAAACTGTAAGGAGAGGTTTTTGTCATATTTCGTTTTGGCAGCTTTGTTCACTCTATTATGCATAGTCTTTTCCCTGAGAATTCATAGGAAACATTTATCTTTGACCAAAATGCTAGGAAATAGCTCATCTTGGTCTGTACTGCTAATTATTTGTGGCTTACCTTTGACCCCATGGGGTCCTGTTTTCTTCCCTTTTTTATTTTTTTGTCTAGTTGTCAGAGGGTTTGTGTGCTCTGCAGAAAAGAGAGTGAGGAAACCCTCCCCACCCCGCAGTGGGTTGTGACTACACCTCTATCCCTTCTCTCTCATTTCTCCAGTCTGTTGGGATTTGGGGCATGAACACACATATACACACATTCAGCATGTTTTTCAAGTTGCTGGGACTGGGTCTTGAACACAGGTCAGCCAAGTGGGATCAAGTTCCTGCAACCATTATACTACAGGGACAACTCTGTTTCCTTCTTTTTTTGGAGAGGTTTTTGCTATGGGGCGCATGCACTCGCCAGAAAGACAGAGACAGAAAACGAGAAATCATCCCCTGGGGGGATGGCCACTCTGCAGTCCCTTCTCCTCCAGTCTCCTCTCAGGATCTTAGGCACGCATGCACATGTTCCTGGCGTGAGTTTAAGCCACAGGGTCCGAGACTCAAACCACGTTCAACTACATGGGAGTCCAGCGACATAGCCATTATGCCAGCTGCTGGTCCACTGTTTCCTTCTTTTAATTCTGGCTGCTGGGAAACCAGAGCCAGGTTTGTAGCTGCTTCAGCAGGTGTTGAGAATTTACAGTATCTCTTCTGGTACTGACCTTATCCTGGCCTTTTCATACTTTTCTAATGAAAATAGCTACATCTTAAAAAAGAGCAATCTCTTATTACTCTTGATGAAAGTGCATAGTACTTTTGCTTATTCTGCCTCTCCAAGTGTCTTTGATAAAAATCTACCTAAGACCAAAGGAGTAGCAAGCAATAGATGGTGTTTGAGCTCCCCTCTAACTCCAAATGATGCCATACCTCTTACCCTATATCTCTTGTGAAACTGGTTTTGCTATAGATGAGATTTCCTTTTAAAAGAAATAATGATTGGGAACCAGCAGTTAGTGTAATGGCTATGTCGCTGGACTCCCACGTAGTCGACCACGGTTCACGTCCCGAACCCAGTGGCTTAAACTCCCGAGAGGAGAATGGAGGAGAAGGAATTGTGGCGTGACCAGCCCCCCTGGGGGGTGATTTCTTACTTTCTGTCTCTAATGTCTCTCTCTGTCTGTCTGGCGAGCGCACGTGCCCTATAGCGAAAATCTCTCCAAAAATGAAAAAGAAATAATTATTAAACAAGATCATTTTCTTTCAACAGGGAGAATCTTGCTAGTGACATGTATCTTATATCACAGATGGATAGCGATCAGTATGTGCCAATTACAACGGTAGCTAACCTTGACCATATCAAGAAACTCAGTACTGATGTGGATTTGATTGTTGAAGTCCTAAGATGTAAGTATATGACACTTGTCTTTACTTATCAGCATGACACTTTGATTCTACAGCCATCGTGTGTAAAGGCACTTGTGGGCAAGTAGAATCTTCCCTGGCTTTCTGTTCCCTTGTATCCAGTCATCATAGTGCTGGTGCAGTGCCTGAACCCTTGGGAGTGCTGGTTGAGTATGCAATGAAACCTCAAATAGATTGTGGGTCATTTGAAGAATAGAAAAATATTTTTTTAATGGAGATCTTAAAGACAGTTATTACATTTATAAGAAACAAAATAATTGTTTAATTCATGTTTTGACCACTAAAGGGATTTGTTTCAAATTTCAACTTCTTACTTAAGTTTTGATGAAATATTATTGCATTTTTCCCTGAAAGGATATTGTGAATGCAGTTGGGGGTTTTTTGACATTTGGCAACATCAAACGGATATTTTAACATTATATAGAGAACTACAGGAATTTCAGGAAATGTATTAATAGATAGTTAAAGTGCTACCTGTCATCTCACCATTGTGGTGGTGGTTTATATCCTGGCTTATTTACATTGTAAATTTAGGCTTCTACAACCTATCTGGGGTATTTTTTCTTATTTTTAAGAAATTGATTCTACTGAGGTATAATTGACATAAAGTGTACTATAGGGAATTTTTGACACCTGATACCTGGGTGAAATTGTCACCACAGTTCAGTGATGATATCTCTGCTTCTTCCAGTGTTTTCTGGGACTCTCAGGATGCTTCCTGCCTAGAAGACTTAACTGTGGATTCCTTCTCTTAAATTTATATTGCATTGGATTTCTTTTAAAATAGATTGTCTTTTAACTATAAAAATACACTTTTGGGGACCAGCAGATGGTGTAATGGTTACGTCACTGGACTCCCACATAGTTGACTGCAGTTTGAGTCCCAGACCTGGCAGCTTAAAACTCACGTCAGGCATGTGTGCCCAAAATCCTGAGAGGAAAATGGAAGAGAAAGGATTGTGGCATAGCCATCCCCGACCCGGGGCTGATTTCTCACTTTCTATCTTTCTGTCTCTCCAGCGAGTATGTGTGTCCTATAGCAAAAATCTCTCAAAAAAATTTTTTTTTTCCCACAGGGCTATGAATACCTTGTGAATTATTTTCAGTTTCCTTTTTCAAGTTGCTATATTGTGTAACACTGGTCTCTCTTCACCCCACTGCCTACAGACTTTTAAATGATTGGACATTGCTATATCTGACTTAAAGCCTTTAATTTATCTCACTATCATCACTTCTCATTACTTACATAGAAGAGTTTTCATATTGTCCCTGGCTTAGCTGTGCTGATGGCAAAGCCAATAGGATTTGTGTATGTGTTGTGTTAACAATAATGTAGAAAGGTGAATACCTTTTTTTAATAAGTATTTTTATTTAACTTTATTTTCCATTTATTTTTTAATTTCACCAGAGTGAGAGAGAGAGAGAGAGAGAGAAACTGAGAAAGCAGGCCACCAAGCTTGAGTCACGAACTATTGTCAGCCATGTGAGAGCCCAGTGCCCTTAACCACCACACCACCTACTGGCCCCAAAAGATGAGTATCTTTATTCACAAATAGAAATTGTCTTCTGTTTTTTTTAGTTCTTAGACAAAAATGGTAGCTTTTTAAATTACTGAAGCAAACAGTGAAGAGAAACTGGCAACCGTAAGTTCTCTTAACCTGAACACTGTGCCACCATTTTCCAGGTGGTGGTATGCTATCCCATGTCAACATTAAACCGAAACCACCACTCATTAAAAGGCCAGCAGCATTCTTGCACCCATCTATACTCTGCTAATAGTCGTGTTGGTTATTATTATGAACCCTATATTTTTGTTATTTCTTTACTGCCTCACAAAGGATCATTTCTCAGTTGATACGTACTGGGTAGGGGTTATTCATGAAGACTGTGAGGACACTCATTGCTCTGTGTAGTCAGTTCTATCCCCCACTCCTTTTTAAAATTTTGCCCAAAAATGCATGTACTCACTAGAGAGAGATAGAGAAAAAGAGAGAGAGTAACAAAGCATACCCCATGGACCATGGTCATGCCAGTCTCCTCTGTTTCTGCCCCTTTTTGGGACTTTGGGTGCACATGCATATGGACCTGGCATGTTTTTCAAGCCACCAGGTCCAGGACCCCAACCACGCAGTTAACCATGTGGGGTCCAACTGCCTTAACCACCATGCCACTAGCTGGGTCTGCTCTGTGTAGTTCTTTAAAGGAGTCTATCCATGAACAACCTGGTCAACAATCCCCACCTCAGCTCCTCCTACTGTTCTCCAGGTCTGTAATTTTGGATGGCTCTTGAATTGTAATATTGCCTTTTACCTGTTCACATTCAACTCTTTAGTGTCTTATTTGTATTTTTTCACTAATTTTTGGACAGAAAGAAAATATGCCTGCATCTATAGTAACCTATGCATTCGGAATATAGTTCACATATTATCATATTTGTTGTGGCTCTGAAAATGGCTGACATATGTAATACCCCAGAAATGGAGTTCTTGTCTTATTTTTAAATCCTCTCCCCACCCCAAAGTACTCTGTGTCTGAAATGGACACTTGAGGGCCAGCAGGTGGTGTGCAGGTTAAGGCAGCTGGACTCCACATGGCTAACTGCATGGTTCAAGTCCCGGATTTAGCAGCTTGAAAATCACACCAGGCATATGTACATGCCTGCCCAAAATCCCAAGAGGTGAATGGAAGAGAAGGGATTGTGGGGTGATGTCTCACTTTCTCTTTCTCTCTCTCTCTCTCTCTCTCTGCCTCTGTCTCTCTGTCTCTGTCTGGCAAGTGCACTTGCACTATAGCAAAAAAAAAAAAAAAAAAAAGAAAGAAAAAAAGAGTGAATACTTGGTACGTATTTTAATTTGAATACTGTTAACCTTAGTGTTAATTAACTTGTAAGTTTATATATTTCTATCCTATTTTTATAGTACACATATAAAGCATGTCATAGTATATATGATTCAAATGCTTTTGTTTTTACACTTAATGTGATTAAAATGGCTAATTAAACAAAGCATACTAAGGGACCAGCAGATGCTATAATGGTTACATCACTGGACTCCAACAAAGTTGACCATTTTTTGAGTCCTGGACCCAGCAGCTTAAAACTCATGCCAGGCACATATGCATGCGTGCCCAAAATCCTGAGAGGAGAGTGGAGAAGGGATTGCAGAGTGACTATCCCCCCTGGGAGGGGGGTGATTTCTCACTTTCTGTCTCTTGGTCTGTCTGTCTTTCTGGAGAGCACACGTGCCCTATAGCAAAAATCTCTCTCTCAAAAAAAAAGGCATACTAAATTATTTGTCACCAGAATAAATATATTGTGTTGTAGTCACATAACAAATACTAGGAATATTAAAATGAGCTAGGTCTTCATTTTCTCAATAAGTAATTTTTTATTTTTGGAGAGGTTTTTGCTATAGGGCGTGTACACTCACCAGAAAGAGAGAGAGAGAGACAAAGAGATAGCAAGCAAGAAATCACCCTCCGGGGGGATGGTCATGCCTCAATCCCTTCTCCTCCATTCTCTTTTTGGGATCTTGGGCATGCACACACACACACCCAGAGTGAGTTTGAGTTTAAACCACCAGGTCCAGGACTCGAACCACGGTTGACTACATGGGAGTCCAGAGACATAGCCATTATGCCAACTCCTGGTCCCAGTACGAGTAAATTTTAAAATCATTACTTTGATAACATATTTCCAATTATGTACAATACGATACCATGTGTATGAAGATTGAATGTGTATACAACGGAACAATGTAATTTATGGCTTTAGGGGTACATGATAATAGTATAAAAACACAAATAGGAATGAAACTTCTAATTCAGTATAAATGTTATAGGGGCAAATGAATTGAGGAAGGGGAGAAATATAAAGGGTTTCACCTATCTTGTTTTATATAGTTTTCTTGAGGTAGAATTACATATTTTAGATTACACATTTTAAGTATATGTTTGGTAAGTTTTTGACATTTCTACATCTATGCAAATACCACAGTCAAGATAATGAGCATATCCATCACTACCAAGTTTCCAGGCAGCCTTCTGTCTTTATACTTGATCTTAGCCAGAAGACTTAAGAAGCAATATTAGTTTGCATTTTCTAGAAACATATAAATTGAATCAGTCACACAATATCACTTTGTGGGGTGGAGTCTGACTTTAACTCAGCATATCTATTTTGTTCTTGAGTGTATCGGTAGATCATTGCTTTTTTACTAAGTAATAGTCTATTGAATATTTATATCACAATTAGTCTATTTACCTACCAATCAGTAGACATGTAGGTTATTGCCAGTTTTAACTACTACAGATAAAGTTGCTTTAAACATTTGTGTGCAAGTTTCTGCTTAGCCATGTACCTTCCTGTCTCATAGAGTGGAATGTTTGGATTGTATGGTAGGTATATAATTAACTTTGTGAAACTGCCCACCTGTTTTCCAAGTGGTTGGGCCATTTTTATAATTGGACATCACCAGTAGTGATAATAGCACCAGTTGCTCTACATCCTTGCCAACTCTTGGTATGCAGTTATTTCAATTTTAGATTTTCTAATAGATGGGTAGTGGTATCTGATGCAGTTTTAATTTCTATTTCTCTAAGATTAATGATACTCAGCATCTTTTCATGTGCTTATTTGCCCTCCTTTTCCTTTGCTGAAGTGTCTATTCATAAGCCCCCCAAATATGCCTTTTTATAGTTTAAATTTTAAATTTTTGCATTTATAGATAAAGTTGCTATACACTTTGGTGTTTTTGTTTTTGTTTTTTTTTGACAGGTTTCGCTATAGGGCGCATGCGCTCACCAGACAGACAGAGACATAGAGACAGAAAGCGAGAAATCACCCCCCAGAGGGGATGGTCACGCCGCAATCCCTTCTCCTCCATTCTCCTCTCGGGATCTTGGGCACGCACGCACACGCGCCTGGCGTGAATTTTAAGCCACCGGGTCCGGGACGTGAACCACAGTCAACTATGTGGGAGTCCAGCGACATAGCCATTACGCTAACTGCTGGTTCCCTAAATTTTTTAGAGCAACTTTAGACTAACAGAAAAATTAAGAGCCAAGTATAGAGAATTCTTACAAACCCCTCCCCAACACCTAGACCCATACAGCCTCCTCCACTATCAGCATTGTCCACCAGAGTGGAAGACTTATTATAACCGATGAACTTGCATTGACACTTGATTATCACCCAGAGTCCGTGGTTTGTATTAGGATACACTTTTGATGTATGTTCTATAGGTTTGAATAAGTATACATGATTGCAGCATCATACAGAGCAGTTTCACTGCCCTCAAAATCCGTTGTGCTCCAACTCTTCATCCCTACTTCACCACTAACCCCCCTAACCCCTGGCAACTACTGATCATCTTCTTACTGTCTCCATAGATTTGCCTTTTCCAGAATGTTCTAGGGTTAGAATTAGTATGTAGCTTTTTCATATTGTCATCTTTAACTTAGCAATATGCATAAGATTCTTCCATGTCTTTTCATGATTTGATAGCTCATCTTTTTTTAATCACTGAGTGATATCCCATTGTCTGGATATATCATAGTTCATCTATTTACCTACTGAAGGACATCTTAGCTCCCAGGATTTTGTAGTTACGGATAAAGTTGTTATAAACATCTGTGTGTGGGTTTTTGTGTAGACTTGCAGTTAATTTGGGTAAATATCAAAGACCACTGTCATTGGATTATATGCTGAGAGAATGGTTCATTTTATAGTGAACAACCAAACTACCTTCCAAAATGGCTAAACTATTTTGCATTCCCTCTAGCAATGAATGAGAGTTCTTGTTGCTGTCTGTGTTTTAGATTTTGACCATTCTCACATATGTGTAGCAGTATCTCATTTTTTTTTGAGAGAGAGATTTTTGCTATAGGGTGCGTGTGCTCACCAGAAAGCCAGAGAGAGACAGAGAGACAGAAAGCGAGAAGTCACCCCCCAGGGGGGATGGCCACGCCATAATCCCTTCTCCTCCATTCTCCTCTCGGGATCTTGGGCACACACGCACATGTGCCCAGCGTCACTTTAAGCCACCAGGTCCAGGACTTAAACCATGGTCAACTACATGGGAGTCCAGCGACATAGCCATTACACTAACTGCTGGTCTCTCTCATTGTTTTTATTTGCAATTCCCTAATGACATATGATGTAGAGCATCTTCTCATACATGTTTGTTTGCTGTCTGTCAGACTTTTTAAAATAGATTTCTGCCTTAGGGAGCGTGAACTTGCAGGACGGGGTGGGGGAGTTAGGAGGGAGACAGACACGGTGAGAGAGCAAGTGAGAAATCACCCCCTGAGGGGATGGCCATGCCACAGTCTTCTTCATTTTCCCCCTGGGATCTTGTGCGCGCGTGTGTACACACACACACACACACACACACACACACACACACACACGGCATGATTTCGAAGCCATTGTGTCCAGGATGCAAACCACGGTTAACTATGTGGAAGTCCAGCGATGTAACTGCTATACCATCTGCTGGTCCCATCGTCTGTTAGTCTTCTTTTGTGAGGTGTCCATTCAGGTGTTTTGCCCATTTTTCAGTCATCTCTATTTTCTTACTGAATTTTGAGTTCTTTGTGTATTTGGTGAATAATCTACCAGATGTATCTTTTGGAAATATTTTCTATGACCCGTGTCTTATCTTATTCTCTTGATACTATCTTTCACAGAGCAGGAGTTTTAAGTTTTAATGAAATCCAGCTTTATCAGTCCTTTGTTTCATGAATTGTGCCTTTGGTTTTGTGTCTAAAAGTTATCCCCAAACTCAAGGTCATCTAGATTTTCTCCTATGTTTTTTCTAGGAGTTTTATATTGTTGCATTTTACATTTATGTCTGTGACCTATTTTAATTTTTGTAAGCAGTATGAGATCTGTGTCTGAATTTCTTTTTTACTTCTTTTTTTTTTTTTTTTTTTTTTTTTTTTTTTTTTGCATGTGGTCATCCAGTTGTTCCTTCATCAAATGAACATGTCAGTCATCTAAAACACCTATCATTACTTTGTGTTGGGAACAGTCAAAATTCTTTCTTTTGGCTATTTTGAAATATACAATGATTTATTAACTGTAGTTACCTTGCTGTGCTATAGAACTCTAGAACTCATTCCATCAGACTACAATTTTGTATTTGCTAACCAACATCTCCCTATCCGCCTCTCCGCAGCTTTCTGTTTTCCCTCTCCACCACTAGTAATCCACCATTCCATTCTCTATGAGAGGTCAGCTTTTTCAGTTTCCACATATCAGTGAGAACATACTTTTTTTTCTTCCTGAACCTGGCATATTTCACTTAACATAATGTCCTCTGGGTTTGCCCATGTTGCCTCGAATGATAGAATTTCATTCTTTTAATGGCTGAATAGTATTCCATTTTGTTCATTTGTTTGTCGGTTAATGGATGTATAGGTTAATGTAATTCTGTAGTGAAACTTATGTGGGTGTTGAGTTTTCTTGGTGAGAAGATTTGTAACTGCAAATTTTATTTCATTCATAGATATTGCTCTATTCCAGTTACCTCTTCCTCCTAAAGTGAGATGTTTTAGTTTGTGTCTTTTAAGAAATGTTTGCTTCATATAAATTGTCAAAATGATAAATGTGAAATTTTTTGTAATATTCCTTATCCTTTTAATATTGGTAAAACTTGGGGACCAGCAGGTGACTTAGTAGTTAAGGTGCTGGGTATTCTCACATGGCCAACCATGGTTCGACTCCTAGACCTGATGGCTTGCTTTCTCACTTTCCCTCTGTTTGTCTCTCTCTGGTTGAATTGAAATAGATGAATGAATGAATAATTTTTTTTTAATTGGTAAAACTTCAGTGATACTACCACTCTCATTTCTGATGCTGACATTTGGTGTCTTTATTGGATTGTAATCATGGTGTGTTGTGACCCAGATCTACACAACATAAGCCCTGGATTTAGAAGTGATATTAAAACACAAACTTTAAAAAAGAAGTATACATCAAAACTACTGAAATCTGAATTAGGGCAGCTTCTAAGCTGGTAGCATTGCACCTACATCAGCATCCTTGGTGTTAATGATGTACTGCAGTTATCTAAGATAGGACCATTTGGGAGAACTGGGGAAGAATACACAGGAACTTGGTGTGAGTCTCAGAGCTATTGTAAAATAATAGTTACAGTAAGATGAAGTTATTTTATTTTAGAGGCTTGTTGAAAGGAGAAAGCCATTAACCCTGTATTTTAATCTACTTTTAGTATCTGAATTGTTTAGAACTTTTGTTTCATAGTATTACATGTATTATAGCTCTTACAGGATTTTTTTTTTAACTAACATGTTTCTTAGCTTTGAAAAATGTAGCATACAAGATTGATCTAATATCTTTTGATAGTTTGTGTTATATTATCAAAACTTTATTTATTTTTATTTTTATTTTTATTTTTTTTTGGAGAGATTTTCACTGTAGGGCGCGTGCGCTCACCAGACAGACAGAGAGAGACATAGAGACAGAAGGGATGGTCACGCCGCAATCCCTTCTCCTCCATTCTCCTCTCGGGATCTTGGGCACGCACGCACACGCGCCCGGCGTGAGTTTTAAGCCACCGGGTCCGGGACACGAACCGCGGTCGACTACGTGGGAGTCCAGCGACATAGCCATTACGCTAACTGCTGGTTCCCAGATTATCAAAACTTTTGATAATTTGCTAGTTAATACTGGTTCCTAAAAATTATGTTTAGTAATACTGTATCACATATTCCATTGGAGCATCATGTTTTAATATTTGCTTTACCATTGATTTTTCTTCTCTTTATAGCTTTACCTTTAGTCCAAGTGGATGAAAAGGGAGAAAAAGTAAGGCCAAATCAAAATCGTTGCATAGTAATACTGCGTGAAATATCTGAATCTACCCCTGTGGAAGTAAGTAATTTCTTCTCTGATTTACAGATTTTTCTGAGGGTGTTCTATTGGTTTTTAATTTTTTTTTCCACTTCTGATTATGGTGAGTGTATTTCTAAGAATAAATACAGTTATACTGTTTTTCCTGGATTTCCACAAACCGATAGACAGTTACAGTGTGATTCACTTGTGGAACGGAACCTTTTGGTCTGGGGACTCCTTTATAGGCTTTACATTAAAAAGATAGTGAGAGTTGATGTATTTACATATTTAGGCATTAAAAACGAGCAGAGTTTTAAATATTTATTTAAAACTAAAACAGTAAGACCACAAATTAAGATAAAAGCCATTTTTATGATAAGTAACCTTTTCAAACAAATATTCTTATGAGAAAAGGGACATTGTGAAAGCTCCTTGAGGAGAGCAGTAGTTGTTGCTGGATCTAAGTTACTATGTCCTTTAGTTTACTCATCTGTTGTTTTACACCTACAAGTAAAAAAATAGTCATCTTTTTATTGGTGAAAATGATGTCTGGAGATAGCCTTAAAGAACTGTTAATTGAAGCAATTTCAGATAGCCATTCTATTTGATAGTTTTAAGAATAATGAAAAGCAATCTGCTGCTACTGCATTGCTGTAAAATCTGTTACTTGTCCAAATGAGTAAACTAAGGTGCTTTCTATGGGAAACATACTGATGATTATGCCTTGAGATAAAAAAGATAAGTCTTCATAGGGAGTGCTTGGAACTTAGCTCGTAAGATTAGTTCTTAGCCACCTCAGAATACAGTAACTGCCTGTTGTGGGGACTCTCAAAGAACCCAATAAACTAGATATCTAGGGAGTATTTGTATCTTCTCCTACATGATTTAAGCCATGTTATTCATGTTACATATCCTTTTTTAAAAAGAAAAAAAAAGATTTTTGCTATAAGGCACATGCACTTGCTGGAGAGACAGAGAGAGAGAGACAGAAAGCAGAAAATTTCCCCACAGGGGAGATGGTCATGCTGCAATCCCTTTTCCTCTATTCTCCTCTCAAGATTTTGGTCTCACACACACATGTGCCCGGGTGTGAATTTCAAGCTGCCAGGTCTGGGACTAGAACCACGGTTGACCACATGGGAATCTAGTGATGTAACCATTATGCCATCTGCACATACCTTTTAAAGCACCTTCTTTGCAGAGGAAATAAACATTCCTATTCATGTTTACAAGCTACAACTTTTCAATCCCAGTGAATTATTGGTATGTGGGAAGCTTTAAGGAAAACTCTGATAAAGTGTAACAAAGGTATACTGAATCTTATGCGTAGGGTAAGAAGTTATATTACTCTTAAGTATGGTCTTGTAATATGTGGTTAAAAATAAATGAGGATTGTATTTTTTTTTTATTTACCTAATATTTGTGGGTATCAAGGACCAGCATATTTTCATTACTAATTTGTGTATCTTTATTAAGTAAAAATAATATTTAAAACATAGGTCCTAATTTTCAGGACTTTAAATATTTGTAAAAACTACAGCCAAATAAAATAGTCTACTTTTAGCTATAGACAGCAACCTAGGTATATTTATATTATTCAAAAGTACAAACTTTTTATGTCTATTGGAAAATTTGAAAGTCTTAAGAGAGAATGTTTAGAAGAAACCCCATAATAAATTAAAAGTTGTAAAGGAAGGGGGGACCAGCAGATAGTATAATGGTTACATAGCTGGAGTCCCACATGGACGATTGCAGTTGAAGTCCAAGACCCCAAGGCTTAAAACTCACACCAGGCACGTGTGCATGCATGTCCAAAATTCCGAGAATGGAGGAGAAGGGATTGCATTGTGACCATTCCCCTAGGGGTGATTTCTTACTTTCCATCAATGTCTCTCCAGTGAGAAGCACACACCCTACAGCAGAAATCTCTTCAAAATAATAAATAAATAAATAGAAGGAAAAGAAAAGGAATATAATTAGTCCAAAACAATCTGAATAGGGAATTAAGTTCCTAAGGGGTTTATATACTAGAGAACTCTTCTACTAAGGCTTCTAAGTATAAGCTAGAGGTTTCCAGAAAATTCCTCCTCCTTTAAATTGTAACTAAGTGCTTCTCAGTGATTAGAAAATTTTAAATTATTGGTTCTGATTTTTTTAAAATCATAGTTTAGATAGGATTTTCCTAGAGACAGGAAATAAACATTCTTTCCACTGCTAGATTGTTAGTTTAGTATCATTAAATTATGATTAGAGTTTAGATGTAATACTAATTTACCATTTGTCAGCTGTGGCTTTTGCCTTGATGTATTCGTTTTCTCTTTTAACCAATAAACACTTATCAGAGATTAGACAAAAAAATAGAGACATTTAGAATCCCTTGAAACAATTTTTGTAGTTAGTTCTCTTAGTACTTTTTGAAGTATAACTGGTGAATAATTTTATATGGAATGGCTGTTTTTCCCTGGTATTGTTTTTACTTTGAGGTCTACATTGTCTGATATGAATTCAGTCACTTCAGTTTTCCTTTATTGAAGTTAGCATGGGATATTTTTTCTATCCTTTTACTTCTAGTCATCTGTGTCTTCATATTTAAGATAGATATATTGGGCCAGCCTGTGGTGTAGTGGTTACATCTCAAATGACCACCTGTTTAAAACCCAACCCAGTGGTTTGAGAAGGTGCATGGTGGTTAAGGGCGCTGGACTCCCACATGGCCGACCACGGTTCAAGTTCTGGACCTGGCAGCTGGCTTTCTTACCTCTGTCCCTTGTGATCAAAATCTAAAATAAATAAATAAAGTTCAATAAAATAATTCTTTAAAGAAAACACACACACACACACACACACACACACAGTATGTGTCCATGCATGCTCCAAATCCCAAAAGGAGGGAGAAATAGAGAAGGGATTGCAGTGTGATCATTCCCCGTAAGAGGTGCCCTGCCACCTCCAGTAACCCCACACACTTTCTGGCAAAAATTTTTAAAAAGGAGTGTGTAGTTGAATCTTTCTTTTCTTATCCAATCTGAAAGTATCTGCCTTTTAGTTTGGGGTGTTACCCATTTACATCTAAGTGATTAACAATGCAGTTGGGTTTAAATGGAAATCTTGTTTTTTCTCTCTTTTGTTTTCTTTCCTATCCCCCATTTTTTTTTTTTAATGAAATGATTGTTTCTGGTTTATTAGGTATAGCTCTTTGTTTCATTTTTTAGTAGTTGCTTGAGGGTTTATTGTTAACTCTGCAGAATTTGCCCTTAATTGATATAACACCATTTCCCTTTATGGTATTACAACAATATTCTTCAGTTTCATTTCTGGCCTTATGCTATTATATACTTTTTTTTCTTTTTTAAAAAAGTTTGTTATAGGGCATGTGAACAGAGAGAGAGAAAAATGAGAAAGCAAGCCACCAGGTCTAGGACTCAAACCGCAGTCAGCCATGTAGGAATCCAGCACCTCAATGACCATGCCACCTGTTGGCCTCTGTGTTATACGTTTGAATTATTTGGATTTGTAAGCCCCATGATAGATTGTTAGTGTATTCTTTAAATCAGTCAGTTCTCTTTTAAAAAGATCAAAACTAAGAAAAATGTGGAGACCAGCAGGTGGCATGGTGGTTAAGGTACTGGACACTACCACATGGTCAACCATGGTTTGAGTCCCAGACCTAGTGCCTTGCTTTTTCACTTTCTATCTCCCTCATTCTCTCTAGTCAAATTAAAATAAATGAATGAATAAATAAAATTAAATGAATAATTCTTTTGTTAAAAAAGGTAAGAAAAATGTATTTTGTGTGTATCCAGTATTTACCATTTACAGTATGTCTTTCTTTTTTCCTTTGTCTGGATCTCAATATTCCTTTACTATGTCTGTGGTACCAGGTCAGCTGGTGGTGAATGTTTTTTCCAACATTAGTATGTTTGAGAAAATCTTTATTTTACCTTCACATATGAGAGATAATTTGCAGAGTACAGATTTCTGGATTGAGAAGTCTCCCTTTGCAGAGCTAGAAACATACTTAACGTTTCTATATTTCTAGTCTGCATTGTGTCTGACAATAAAATCTGTTATTTTTTATCTTCATTCCTCTGTGTACAACTATTCTTCTTTGGCTGCTTTGAAGATTTTATCAGTAGTTTTAAACAATTTGATTTCAATATTATTGCCTTGGTATATAGCATTCAAGTTTTATTGTACTTGAAGTTCACTGAGACATTATTTCTTCAAGTATTTTTTCTCTTCTGTCCTTTTCTTCAGAAATTGTCTAACTGCTAATCCTATTCAGTGTATTTTTCATTTCAGACATTATATTTTTCATCTTCAGAAGTTCAATTTAGGGGTTGGGTTTTTTTAAAGCATTTTTATGGTAGAGAGTGCATATGCACACTTGAGAGGAAGAAAAAGCAACCTCTATAGGTGCTTCTCATCATGCCAAGATCTGCCCTCCTCAGCCCCCCAGCTCCTTAGGATCTCACTCAGGGGCCCACATACATATATCTGATGTGGTTTTAGACCAACTCATGTATCTAAACCTGCAATCCCCATATGTACCTCAACCTTGCAGGGCACCTATGTCACCACAGCAGCTGGGCTATTTTTTTTTCATGCATTTATTTAATATATTCAGTCTGTACATTTTGAGCATATAAAATATATGTGATATTTTAATGTCATTGTCTACTAATTTTGTCATCTGTATTAATTTCTATGTCTAATTTGATCTTTTTCTTTATAGATCATATTTTTCTGTTTTTTTACATGCTTATTAATTTTTGAGTGGATGTCAAACATTTTACATTTTACTTTAGTGAGGATTGAATATTTTTTGTATTCGTATAAATATTCTTGAGCTTTATTTTGAAATACAGTTAAGTTACTTGGAACTATTTTAATCCTTAAAGGAATATTTGTCAGGTGGAATCAGAGCAGCCTTTACTTCAGGACCTACTTTTTCTCTATTCTGCCTGATATCCTATGAATCTAGGTTTTTCTACTCTTGGGGGAAGTCAAACTCTTCCCTTCCCAATGAACTCACTCTGGAGTTGTTTCCCCAAGACATGTCAGGTGGTTTCTTTCCAAGGCTGAAGATCTGGGGAAACCCCTGGTCAGAGCTAGAGCCACACTCACCCTCCTGACCCAAGTGCCTGGGCAAGGCATTTGTGGAGTCATCTCATTCAAGGATCACTTTTTTATACTACCTGAGTCCAGTGTCTGAAAACTGTTACTTTACATATTTTGTTTTTTTTGTTTTAAATTGTATCATGTGGTAGGTAGATTGAATCTTGTCAAGAAAAAAGTCTGGCTGATTTTTGTTTTTATTTCCTAAGTTGTCTTTTCAAAATAAGTTGTGTAGTTACCAACTCAGGGATAAAACAGTATATTTTTCACATTAATTTAGCTTCATGGTATTAATGTAGTATATAATTATTTTCCTGTGGCATTGTGATCCTAATTCTGGAAACCTCACGGAACCCTTCAGCCTTTTTTGAAAAAAGAGAATTATTGGGCATTGTAGTGTATTAGGTCCTGCTTGAAGGTGTACTTGAGAATTAATTTCTAACCTCCATTTTTTTTTTTTTTTGTAGGAAGTAGAAGCACTATTTAAAGGAGATAATTTACCAAAATTTATAAACTGTGAATTTGCCTATAATGATAATTGGTTTATTACATTTGAAACGGAAGCTGATGCACAACAGGTAAATTCTTTGTTCCACCGCCCTATGAAATATGTCATTCACTAATTTTTAATGCTAGTACGTAACATTATTAAATTTGGGCCTTGAGATTGCTATCACATTGTAGTATTAAGTTTGAATATAAAGTGCAAAGGAAATCAAGTTATAGAAACTTGAATGGATATGTTTGTGTAGACAGTGTTTACATACTATTAAAGCATGTAACAAAGACGATGTAAGGTGAGTACCTAACGAAACAGTTCTGTTCTTATGTCTGGCCAGAGAAAGGTTTTACCATTTGTAAATTTGAACCTAACCTTAATTTTGCATAGGCATCATTGTTCATTGCATGGTGTTATTAATGATATTGAAAAGTAAGCTCGGGGGGGGGGGGGGGCTAAAAAGGGACACGCAGTTGGGCAGGGGGATATTCCTGTAGTTGACCGCAGATTGAGTCCTAGACCCAGTGGCTTAAACTCACACGGGGCACGTGTGCGTGCTTGCCCAAGATCCCGAGAGGAGAATGGATGAGAGGGGGATTGCAGTCTGGCCATCCCCCTGGGGGGGTGATTTCTCATTTTCTGTCTCTGTCTCTGTCTTTCTGGTAAGCACATGCACCCTCCAGCAAAAACCTCTCAAAAAAAAAAAAGAAAAAGAAAAAGTAAGCTCTTTGAGGAGCTATAAGGGCTTAAAGTAGTTTCCTTGCCCTTAAAAGAAGCATATGGGAAACAGATTAACACAAGTAGAGGAATGCCAGTATATTATAAAGTATTAAATAGTGTAAATGATGGGACCAGCAGTTAGTGTAATGGCTATGTCGCTAGACTCCCACATAGTCGACCGCGGTTCGAGTCCTGGGCCCGGTCGTGCCAGGTGCATGTGCGTCCGTGCCCAAGACACCAAGAGGAGAATGGAGGAGAAGGGATTGCGGCGTGGCCATCCCTCCTGGGGGGTGATTTCTCGCTTTCTGTCTCTCTGTCTGTCTCTGTCTGTCTAGTGAGCGCACGTGCCCTACAGCAAAAAAAAAAAAAAGATAGTGTAAATGCTATTGGAAATTCAGAAGAGAAAATACAAAAACCAGATAAATGGATTTTTAATTGGATAGAAGAAAAAGGGTTATATAGCACATAAGTCACCATGCTGTGAAACAGAGTGTATAGCCCTATTAATCTGCTTAGTGGTATAAAATTAAGTAGGAAGTTGATGTGGTGGATTTAATTTGGAGAAGAACAGGAGCTATATTAATAGTGACTCCTGAGTATTACAGTCCTAACCTTCTCTTTTCCTCTCTTAATATTTCATTTCCTGAAGAGTATAATTCCAATTTCAAATTCTAGGAACTCAGTATTTATTGTTTTCTTCAGGTAAGGATTTTTAGCCAGTGGTCTTTGGAAGACTTATGTATCTAATAATACTTGGTAAAGTTGTGTCCAAATCTTGTTTACATGAATTTTGAGTAGAGGTTCCATATCTATTATGAGGTTATGTTAAGGGATCTATGACCCAAAGAGGGCCAGGAAAATAATGTGATCTAGGACCCATCTACCATATTTTAACAATGCAACTTCTTACTTGAGCTGTGGAATTAACGATCAGTTCATCTTATAAGATTAACAGAATGCTATTTTGGATGGTTTTGCCCTTAGGCTTATAAATACCTGCGAGAAGAAGTCAAAACTTTTCAAGGAAAACCAATTAAGGTAATAAGATCATTGTTTCTATTTTATTCATTTGCAAATTGCTGTTCTTAAGGATCTTAATAGAAACATACGTATTTTCAAACAGGCACGAATAAAAGCAAAGGCAATAGCTATAAATACATTTTTGCCAAAGAATGGATTTAGACCTCTGGACATGACTCTTTACACACAGCAGCGCTATACAACATCCTTCTATTTACCTCCAGTATACAGCCCCCAACAGCAGTTTCCTCTGTACAGCCTGATTGCCCCACAGACGTGGTCAGCCACACACAGCTATCTTGATCCACCCTTGGTGAGTCTCTTCTTTATTTGGAATTTGCATTGCGGGCATTCAGTAGGTACTGTGAAGGATTATAATCCTAGTTTATTGGGGAGCCTGATAGAGATGCAGTTTGCTGTAGCAAAAGAGATTTCCAGTTGCATAGTGGACTTTAAATTTGATTGGGTAATAAGGACAGAGCTTTGTACATCTTGGAATTGGCATGGCTGTCCTACCTGTCCAGTATCTCTTTCATTCTGTCCAGAACATGGTTTTCTGTGTGGTCCTTCAGAAGGAGTATAACCTGTCCTGGGCTCAGAGGGAGTGAAAGGGGGTTTTCTAAAGAGAAAAACATGTTTACATAGGCTTCCAACAGTCAGGGACAAGTAGAAAACAACCTTTCACCCCTAATAACACATTGTTTCACTTTGTGCAAAGGTGAAGAGATGTACCTGTTAATTCCCAGCAAATTATGATAATAAATTATTGCTTTAATGACCAATTCCATTTTTAAACTGTTGAGGAAAACTTATTAAATACTAGAGTTCATTGTGTAAAATTACATATGTGAAATTACTCATTTTCGTTGGTCTTAACATGGTTTACAGTCTCCAAAATCTGGTTAATGGCTCATCTGGTGTGATATATTTTTAATCTTAACACACTGTAGAGATTCTCAAGTAGTGAGTTGGAGATTCTCACAAGGTTTTAAGCATTTCCCTTTCGTTCCTTTTAATTTTTTTAATTAGAATGATTTTGTTTTGGTCCTAATTTGTCTCTAAAAACCTTATTTTAATTGCATTTTCTACTTAGCTTTAGTTAAGGAGAATTACTTCCATTTTTTTCTATTTCTTTCTCTCTTTCAACTACAAGGGACTTAATTACATTTTCTCTGTCAATTTAGTGACTTTTTTTTTAGAGTAGGGACTTGAAGACCTCAGCAAGTGTAGTGCCCTGGAAGTCATGGCTTTTATACAGAAAGTATTTGAAATCACATGTCTAGAAGTTAGAGTGATCTTTTTTTTTTCCTTAGAAAAAGAATCATTTCAACACCAAGTTTTATCTTATTTTTGTACTTGTCTAGATTTTTTTAAATAGCTGACTGATATTTTACAATCTGCGCTTTAATATTACTACAATATTATTAACTTTTTAAGACTAGGGACCAGCAGTTGGCATAGTGGCTATGTTGCAGACTCTCATGTAGTCAACTGCGGTTCAGTCCTGGACCTGGTGGCTTAAACTCACGCTGGGTGCACGTGTGTGCATGCCCAAGATCCCGAGAGGAGAATGGAGGAGAAGGAATTGTGGTGTGACCCTCTCCCTTGGGGGGTGATTTCTCGCTTTCTGTCTCTGTCTTTCTGGCACATACCCTATAGCAAAAACCTCTCAAAAAAAAAAAAAAAAAAGACTATATTTAGGATTAGATCACTTTATTTAATTATTGAATTTTATTTATTATTTTTTAATTTGACTAGTAAGAGACTGAGAGGGAAAGTGAGAGAGCAAACCACCAGGTCCAGGACTCAAGCTGTAGGGGGTCATGTGGGAGTCCAGTGTCTTAATCACCATGCCACCTATCTATCCCAGGATTATATCTTTTAAGGACGCTGTGGCCCTTTGTAATTTTCTTCTGAATTTTATGTCAGTATATTTGTGTGCCATGTATCTGCTTACCTTGGAAGTTGAATAATAATTTCTTATGATTTGAAAATATTCTGATCTTTAGAGCAAGACTTATATGGAGTTAAGTTAAAAATCAGCACTCTCCAAGACTGTGATTATGAAATAAGCCACATTAGTAGCAATAGGTATATAAATATTTCTAAGATTGAGAATTTTGAAGAATTTTATTAAAGTTGCTGAAAATAAGAGAGATTGTTTCCCTCTTGCCAGAAATGAAAGTAATTTTTTAAAAATAGATTTTTGCGGGACCAACAGTTAGCGTAATGGCTATGTCACTGGACTCCCACGTAGTTCACCGCGGTTTGCGTCCCAGACCAGTGGTTTAAACTCACGCCGGGCATGCGTGCGTGCGTGCCTGCCCAAGATCCTGAGAGGAGAGTGGAGGAGAAGGGATTGCAGCGTGGCCATCCCCCCTGGGGGTGATTTCTCACTTTCTGTCTGTCTGTCTGTCTCTGTCTGTCTGGCAAGCGTACGCGCCCTATAGCAAAAACCTCTCAAAAAAAAAAAAATAGATTTTTGCTATAGCGTGTGTGCACTTGCCAGAGGGACAGAGACAGAAAGTGAGAAATCACCCCTCAGGGGATGGCCGCACTGTAGAACCTTTTCCATTCTCCTCTTGGGATTTTGTGCACACATGCTCACGCAACTGGTTTCAGTTTTAAGTCGCCAGATCCCCAGCTCGAACCCTGATTGACTACATGGGAGTTCAGTGACAGCCATTACACCATCTGCTGATCTCTGGAAGTAGTATTAATAACCTTTAGATAAAACATTTGGACTTCTCCAGACAAATGTGTTAAAGTTCACAACACCTATGCTCAGGAACCCACATGATCGTAAGCAAATTTATTTCCTCTCTTTATGTCAGTTTCTACATATCTAAATTGCATTCCTTGTTGGGTTGTTGTAAGGATTCATTGAGACAATGTAGAAAAGTTCCTGGCCGTTGTGAGTGCTCTGTGCATATTAGCCATTAGTAAAAAGCTTACAGAATCATCTTTTTTTGATCTCTAATTATATTTAATATAACATAGAATATAATAACATCTCTGGCAGGATACAGAAATGTCCTAGGTTACTACAAATACAAAAATATTAACCAAATTAAAACCTGTTTCATGATTTATTTACTTGATTGCTTTTTTAATGAATCTAGGTAACTCCATTTCCAAATACTGGATTTATAAATGGGTTTACGTCTCCAACCTTCAAACCTGCAGCATCTCCTCTGACTTCAATCAGACAGTATACTCCTAGGAGCAGGTAAGTTCAACAAATGATTGAATGCTTATGAGCTTTCTGGTATCTGTAGTAAGAGAGATATTTGACTGCTCATTATGCTCATCAGAGATAAAACTATTTAAAGTATACATTAAAACCATGCTGTAGTTGCCTATACAGGTAGAATAGAGAGAAGGCTTTCAGGGCAACTAGCACTGTGTGCCTACTTTTTAATCCAGACCTGGACTCAAAGACAGTGAGGCAACTGACACATGGCTGAGAGGTTTGCATTATCCTGCATGCATGTGTTACCTCTTACAAATAGCACGGGGTTTTGATTTTGCTGTTGTTTAGTTCATTCTATCTATCTATCTATCTATCTATCTATCTATCTATCTATCTTTTTTTTCCCCATGAGAGATGAAGCCAGCAAGTGGTCTGATGGTTAAAGATGTTGGACTCCCACATGGCCAACCACAGTTTGAGTTCCAGACCTGGAGGCTTGCCTTTTCACTTTTCCTCTTTCTCTCTCTCTCACTCTGTCCCTCTTTGGTCAAATTTAAATAAATAAATAGTTAAATAAAATAATTCTAAAAAAAAAATACCCCTTTAGTTTGCATGAGAGAGAGAGACAGGCAGACAGAGAAACAGGCACCCTCAACGTGGTCTCATGCACTGATCTCCCTAGCCTTTCCCAGCCATCCAGGATCATGGTGTGTACAGGTCAGCTTGAATGCCTATCTTCCATATAACCTCCAGCACTGCAGAGCGTTGCACTACTTCTGTGCCACTGTGGCTGGTTGCTAAATGACAGTTTTTAAATTTTATTAAACAGAAAGGAGATTTAGCTTAGCCGTTCCACATTAGTATGCTCATTGTGTTCTAGCTCAGTCTTTTTCTAACCAAGCATATACAAATACTTTATTTACAGGAATCCTAGTAAATCTCATCTGCGCCATGCAATTCCTAGTACAGACAGAGGACCTGGACTATTAGAAAGTCCTTCAATATTTAACTTCACTGCGGATCGGCTAATTAATGGTGTTCGGAGCCCACAAACAAGGCAAACAGGTCAAACAAGAACACGAATACAAAACCCATCAGCTTATGCCAAGAGAGAGATTGGAACTGGGCGAGTGGAGCCAGGCAGTCTTGAGTCTTCACCTGGTTTAGGGAGAGGGAGGTGAGTTGTTCACTTATTTTATTGAACAGGTACTTTGTACCTATCATAAACTATTAGTACTTTCTAAATTTCTTTCATTTAGATATTTTTTATAGTTATTTTCAATTTACCACAGAAAATTAAATTGAACACTATAAACATCAAGGTTTTACATAAATGCAATGAGTGGTTACTTTTAGAGCAAAAAGCTTAAATGATTTCATCTTTTTGTATTAAGAAATTGTTAAACAAGAACTTAAGATGCAGTTGAACTCTATTAGGTCACAGTCACAATTTGTAGAGTTCCCAGACTTCCTTCTGTGCCTACATCTCCCTTGGTGGTTGTCCTGCTCCCTGATCCCATGGGATCGCTTTTACCTGCCCTAACAGAGTTCTTGTCTATGGGGTATGGTAGACAGATTCTGCTGGTAGCCAGTCAGACCAGTGTTTAGATTCCACTTCTAACTGCTCAGTCGTGCTGTTGACCACATGTCCATCCTTGGGTGAGTTGCCTGACATTCTCAGTGCATCTGTGTCTGCATCATTGCCTGGGATCCATATGTGCATTGTTGAGTAGTCTCTGCCCACTGCTTTCTCCTTGTGTCCTTTGGCACAGCTTGCTTTCCCTGCTGTCTTTGACTCCTGCCATGTGTGCCTTCATTAGGAGATGATATTAGAGAAGATGCAGGTGAGACCTACTCAGTGTTTCTTAGATCAGTTCATCTTCTCAGTTGTTGATGTGATAGACTGTCAGAATTTTTCTCTGACCAATGAAAGGCAAGTACTGCAATCTACCTGATCTTTTTCTTTTCACCTACTTTGAAAAGCTTAAGTGAAATTATTTCTGTAAGTTTCATACATGAAGTGTATAGCAAAACCTTTGACAAACAAAAGCTCTAAAGACATTGGTTCTTCATTCTTAGTCCAGTGTGTGTTTTCAGTGCAGTTTGAGAGTTAAACTGCAGAAACAGCTAATCCTATCTGTCATGATTACATTGGCATTTGTGAAACTAGGATTGTAAAATGTAGTGGTCAAGGTAGTATGCTACAGTAAAACTGGCACTGTACTGTTTATCAGTCAAGAGAAAATGGGATATCAGGTGGGTTCAGCAGGTCCTGAAGACTGAAAAGGCAAAAGGAAAGTGTTTCACAATCTCACAAGACTACATACTTTGTTTATAAATTTATACTTTCTTGTGTACCCATAGTGGTATAAATAAAAGTGATTATACCAAATTTATAATACTGTATTGTGATGTGTCTTCTTGATTTCTGGCACTTATCTAATGTATTTTTTATATGGATAGAATTATGTTATTCTAGTTGGTATTGTGTGACACCTATTGAAAAATACATACTTAACACACAGCAGGACACCACCTTTAAGCTCCTCACTTACTGACTAATTTGCTTAATGTCCTCGTCTTAGGGACAAACCTTGAGTGTTAAGTGAGGAGTGTCTGTATTACAAGGCCCTTGAGTAGTCTTTGAATTACATTAAATTATAAATAAATGAATAAATAATTTTTTGTTTGTTATTACTGGTTAGGCCACATGAGCTCATTCAGAGCAGTGGAATTGTTTTGGCTTTAGTGTCTTCAAGACTTGATGTGACACTTAATAAATGTTTGTTTATACAGTCATAACCCACAGTACATGACCTGGACTTCCTGTTCACAAGGTCTAATTTTTGAATGGTAGAAACTCACAAGGTTGGCAAATAAGGGTAGGAAGTTCTTGTGATTTAGAGGTCCCTGTGGATAAGAGGAAGGCCATTAAAGTGGTTGTATACAGGCTAAGAGGAGTAAGGGAAGGAGGATAGGACAGATTATTGGGGGATTTTAAAATTCTGATGATAAGCAAGTGAGCATTTGATTAAATTTTGTTATCATTTTAATTTCCTGTGTAATCTAGTGTCTGATTTTCTACACCTTGTCCTTACAACTGGATGAATAGACAAACAGGTCACACTCTTACCAAAAATTCTAAGTAGCCAACAGGTAAATTCTTTTAGTAAATGTTTTTCTTTTATTTGCCTAACTGGACATCAGTTTTAGTCCTTTAAACCTTTTTGTCATTTTGCTTATACTTCTTAAGGTTGAAGTTTTGGAATCCAAAGTTATTTTAAGAAGATTATAGAATAGCACAAATGTGCACAATGAAAAGTTTCCTAAGTAGGGAAAAAAAATAACAGTCTTTCGTTTCCACTTCTAGAAAGAATTCCTTCGGCTACCGGAAGAAAAGGGAGGAGAAGTTTACAGTGAGTACATAAGTCCCATGTTGTTTCACACAGCATTTAAATCTAGCTAAGACTGAGACGTGAGGAGGGACATTTCAGAAGACTTTGTCTTTTAACATGGTGTTTATTACATAATAACTGGCATTTCTGATGGCCAGAAGAGAAGATTGGGGATTTTAGAACTATTGGCTGCTCACTAGTTTGTGAGTGTTCCTCCGTGCCACACAGACATGCATACTGTAGAATGGATGCAGCCGAGAGCTCTTCTGTATGTGCTGCAGTGTACATGCAGCATCCACATGAGTTCTTCTGTGGGGTAACCAGACTCAAATTTAAAAGAACATGCAGAATCAGCTTTTCCTATGTTAGGAATTTGTTCCACACTATTTTTCATTCAACATTGTAACATGTCTCCACCATGTACTAAACATTATTTATTGCCTTCTGTTCTAAGTTCTAGACAGGGCAAACTCAAAGATTGGTGATAGGTTCATGTGAGTGCTAAATACATGAGCCATGGTCACTTTTGCTTTGGTAGATTGAACAGAGTTTTCTCCTATGGAAAATACTTGTACTGGACTTTCTTGGAGGCTTGCATGCGACTTTTCAAAACCCAGTGGTCGAGGAAGTATGACTGAGTCAGCAGTGGGTGGGGAGATGTTTACAGAGTGGACTGCATGGGTTGTAGAAGCAAAGTCACATACTCAGAGGATTGGAAAGGACCTTGAGGGAATTCTTGGTTCAACCCCCTGGGCTATTGTGTAAGTGCATTCTTACCACAAATGTTACATGCTTCTTGTTTAGAACTCAGAGATTCTACCTTTAATAACGATGGCTTAGTGTGTGGTTTTTGTTTAACCCTTTGGGAAGGCTGTTTGTATCAGTTGATTCCATTTGGAATTAGTGAATTCCTATAACAATTTGAACTCACAGTGTTCACATCTGAATCTCATGTGAAGTAGGCCACACTATTATACCTGCCAGGAATATTTTTGTTTTGTTTAATCTGTTTTTCTGATTCATGTGTTTATACCTGTAAACCATTTAGAAGCTCAGGAATAAGACACAGGTATTAGGTTTATTACAGAGAGGGTACCTATTGTTATACTTACATATTCTTATGACTGCAAAAATTTATAGACAAGTAACCAGTATGTGAGCATTTGGGCCCAACATAACCCACGAGACGAGGAACAGCATTTGCACCACACTTAGAGGCTGTCAACACTGCCTTCAAAGTCATGTCCCATTTGTAAGCTCTGTCCTTTTATAACTCCAACATCTGGACAGTTCTTGCCTGCCTCTTCGGCTCCTAAAAATTGATATTTAATGAATTTCCTGTGGAGCTGTCTGTGAAAATGCTTATCTTCAGATCTATGCATGTTTAAATTAAAGCCTCTAAAAATTGCTTTGAAATCATAGTGTCTGTGTATAACTTAGAGCTTTGCTGGATTATTTTGAGCATGATATTCATTATGTTGAATTATAGAGATCTTCTAATAGCCAAGTAGTTAGTAAGGACAGGGTTAGTTCTGAGGGCACATAACTACATAAAATTAAGCTAAAATAAGGCACTTTTGCCATAATAAAGGACAAAAGCAGGCAGGGGTTCCTAAAATACAGTTGGGACCTTTTCCAACTTGGATCCATTTTCATCCTCTAACCTACTCTCACTGGAGTTGTGGCATATTTTCTCTAGATTCTACATATGTAAGAAATGTTCTTCCCACTAACATAAAGTTATGGGAAATATTGGCCCTTTCAGGCTGAGTAGACCTAGGAGAGCTTTGCCTTCTGGTCAGAGTAAACTCAGTATGCTGACAAAAATACTGAATCCCACCTCAGTGTAACTCATTTCAAGGACCATTTCCATTTTAGTATGTCATCCATCAACCTTCAAACAAGGAACTGGGTACTTAGAAAATGACTGCTGGAGTCAGCAGGTGGCACGGTAGTTAATGCTCTGGACTCCCACATGTCTGATCATGGTTTGAGTCCCAGACTTGGTGGTTTGCTTTCTCACTTTCCCTTTCTCTCAATCTGGTTGGATTAAAAATTAATTATAACAAATAAAAATAAATAAATAAATAAATCTTTAAAAGAAAATGACTGCTAACTTGTTCAAGCAAGTTGATAGTTTTCTAGTGAAAATATATCATTGCCTTTCTCCTGAGTTTTTGGGCTAATAAGTTACACTCCAGATACTATATCAAATGTACTTTCCTTAAAAGAAAGACTTTTAAAGTCAAAGATTATTATTATTTTAGAAAGGTTTTTACTATAGGGCACGGCACATGCACTTGCCAGACAGACAGAGAGAGACAGAAAGCGAGAAATCACCCCCCCAGGGGGGATGGCCATGCCACAATCCCTCCTCCTCCATTCTCCTCTCGGGATCTTGGGCATGCACACACACGCGCCCGGTGTGAGTTTTAAGTCACCGGGTCCAGGACGCGAACCACAGTCGTCTCTGTGGGAGTCCAGCAACATAGCCATTACACTAACTGCTGTTCCCAAGAATTTTGTGTTCTTATGGTTATTTAAAAGTATAAAGTGGGCCAGCCCTATAATGAAGCAGTTAGGCTTGATGCAAAGGAACCTGGGTTCCACATGGCTGACCAGGTTTCGAGTCCCAACCCATAGACTTTATACCAGTCATGGATCCAGGATCCTCACGGGATGGAAAAATGTCTTTTGAAAGAAGCCAAAAATATTTATAAACTGTTTCAGCAAGTTAATTTTGAGATAACTAGAGCCCCCCTTCTTTCTTCATTAAGCCATTTTTCAATGGACATATATGTAAAATGATATGTCCATTTTACATATATATAATATATGTAAAATGACATAGAAAATGATGCTTTTGGGAACCAGCAGTTAGCGTAATGGCTATGTCGCTGGACTCCCACGTAGTCGACCACGGTTCGCGTCCCGGACCTGGTGGCTTAAAACTCACGCCAGGCGCGTGTGCGTGCGTGCCCAAGATCCTGAGAGGAGAATGGAGAAGGGATTGCAGCGTGACCATCCCCCCTGGGGGTTGATTTCTCGCTTTCTGTCTCTATGTCTCTGTCTGTCTGGCGAGCGCACGCACCCTATAGCGAAAACCTCCAAAAAAAAAATGCTTTTGAAAGAGCATCATTTTTCTTTTACAGTTTCCTTTCTGACTTAGATTACAGACTGTGTTATAACAACACAACAGTTGTCTGGAGGTGAATACAATTAACATCTGGACTCAGGCTACTCTAATTTCTATCTCGCAAGGTGTGCCTTATTTTGTAGCCCCCATGTTTTTAGTGTCATTCCATTTTTGGTGCGTGCACACCCGTGCCACTTCCTGGCTTCTGTCAGCTGATTGTGGACTGGAAACCAGAAGATGCTGACAGGAGAAAGTACTTACGTCCTTTGTGGCACATCTTTTGGTTGGCAGCAGTCTTAAGATTTCAGTTTTATGGGTCTGCTCCAGGTGCTGAAGTTGCCTGATAAATTATCTTTTATTGGGAAGAAGCATTTGTAAAGTTTTACCTGTGCATTATTTGTTTATGGCCTTCATTCAGACAAATGTGGAAATGGGAAGATTCTTTGTCTTACTCTTGTGCTTTCTCTGTGTTGCTCACTTGTGTGACTTTATGGGGTATTGTTTTATTGCAGAACAGCCAGACTCAGTCTCCAACACCACCGAAGCCTCCATCACCAAGCTTTGAGCTGGGGCTGTCCAACTTCCCCCCGTTACCTGGCGCTGCAGGCAACTTGAAAACAGAAGACTTGTTTGAAAACAGGCTTCCCAGCTTGATAATAGGACCATCTAAAGAAAGGGTAAGGTTCACATCATAAGTCTAGTAGTTGCTGACATTTACTAAGCACGGTTGAGCTCTTCACACACATTGTTTTCTTTTTTTATAATTATTTTATTTGACTTTTATTATTATTATTATTATTATTATTATTATTTTCCAGTTTGATCAGAAAGAGAGAGAGTTAGAAAGCAAGTCTCCAGGTCCGGGACTCGAACCTTGGTCAGCCATGTGGAAGTCCAGCACCTTTAACCATCATGCCACTTGCCGGCCCCTCACACATAATTTTTTTAATACTCAAAAGAGGTTTAGAGAGGTCAGATGATTTGGAAACGTTAAGATCGGCATTGGACCCAGAGCTGGACCCTTTAGTTACTTTGCTCTGACTGATGAGATCAGAGATGGAAACCTGTGCCATGAGATTACATTTTTATTGTTGTTATTGAGACCTTTTATTTTACAAGACAGAATGAAACAGAAAAATCTACATTATACCAGAAGTCTTGCATTTCTTGGCAATCTACATGAGATAAGTAATAGGCCTAGAAGAACTTCACTGTAATATTAGTGGCTATTGGTAAACTCTGAAGGGTGCCACAATCAGTGCTCTCACCCTCCTGAGGGATTGTGACCCAAAGAGTCAGGCCTGTGCTGCCCAAGTCAAAGAATGTTCGTTTCTGTGGCTTCTTCTGGTTTATAATGAGGCTAACAGATTGAAGGTGGAATTTGTCCTGTTGCCAAGATTAATGCTTTCAGAGCCTGAAAAGTACCAAGCAATAGTTTTCTGCCCAGTTATTAACCATTGCATAAAAGTGCCCAGGACGAGTTTGCTGAGTAGTATGGTTGTATAATCCCTTATGCTAGCAGTTCTCAACTGTGGCTGTATGTCAGGATCACCCATGTGTCTTTTTCCACTGTAAATACTCACCACAACCACCCTATTTATTGCTCCCAGATCTAAAGGATCAGTCTCCATGACTCTGGACTTGGGGGAAGTGACTTCCATAGCCCAGGTTCACATCCGTTATAGAGGGCATAACAACTTCTCACACACTAAGGCATCATGTAAGGTGGGACTTTGCTGCAGTATCTTCATACTAAAGCCAGATGAGGAGTTCAGTCCCTTTTAAATTGGTAGGTGGTGGTTCCTAATTTAAGTTGAAAATTGAGTGCCTTCCAAGGTTCCTTACTTTGTAGTAACAAAGTAACCATCACATGTTGGGTTTGACATGGCTTACAAATATATTCTACCTTAGGACCAGCAGATGGCATAATCGCCACATTGCTGGACTCCCATGTAGTTGACTGCAGTTCGAGTCCTGGACACGGCAACTTAAACTGACTCCAGGTGCATGTGCATTTGTGCCCAAGATCCCGAGAGGAGGATGGAGGAGTAGGAATTGTGGTGTGACTATCCCCCCCAGCCCAGGGGAGTGATTTCTTGCTTTCTGTGTCTCTGTCTCTGTCTTTCTGGCAAGCGCACGCACCTTATAGCAAAAACATCTCCAAATAAATATATGTGTGTGTGTGTGTATATATACGGGTGATTGTGGCTATGCCACAATCCCTTCTCCATTCTCCTCTTAGGATTTGGGTCACAAATGCACATGTGCCCAGTGTGAATTTCAAGCCGCCAGGTCCATTACTTGAGCCACAGTCAACTATGTGAGAGTCCAGCAATGTAACCATTATGCCATCTGCTGGTCCCACACAATAATTTTTGAGTTTTAATTCCTTGTAGAATGGTGTTCAAGATTAGTGCACCTTAAAGATGATGAATCTAGTTTTCACACTAGCTTATTCCTCTTGGTGAATGGTGTGGAAGAAAGCTTCCACCCCTGCTTCAGAAACAGCAGCTACAGTTTTGTATAGTTTGAGTTTCTGTGTAAGATTGACCTCGAAGAAAGAGTTTCTACTTTATTTTTTTTTAGAGAGAGATTTGCTATAGAGACCCATACATGACTGTCAGTCCTGCTCTGTGGCCAACTGTCACGTGTGCTTGGCAAAGAGACAAAAAGTGAGAAATCACTCCCTAGGGGGAATGGCCAGGCGACAGTCCCTCTCCTCCATTCTCCTCTCAGGACTTGGGGCAAACACGCATATGCGCCTGATGTGAGTTTCAGGCTGTTGAGTCTGGGACTGGGACTGCGGTTGACCACATGGGAGGCCAGCGCCTTAACCACTAGGCCATCTGCTGGCCCAAGAATTTCTACTTTTTAAAAGTCTGAGTGTGATTCCACGCCAGGTTAAATAGTCCTCATTGCTGCTTTTCAGGAGAGCATCAACTTGACGCTCAGGTTTTAGAGCTACAGAGAGGAATCTCAGAAATGATCTGCTCAGCCTCTGCCTGCTGATGGGTCCTTAATGATCACATCACACCAGCTCTTCTCACACAGCGCAGTCAGCCTGGGTCATGACTAGATATGTCCTGCACTTCAGTGTTTCCATAAAGGAGGCCTTTGCCATTCCTCTAGTTCCACAAATCTAGACCCCTTAGCTTCAGCACAGGATTCAGAAGTGATTCTGGGCCTCAGGTCAGGAGGGCCCTGCATATCTGGTAGCCCTCACCTGAGTGCGGAAATGTGCAAATTGTGCCATTCACTCCTGACATTTTAGGTTCACTCTTATTTCACTTCTGAACTTGCTACCTGCTTTGAAAAGTAAAGCATCTTAAGAAATTTTTACATAAACTCACTACCAATTATTTATTTGCCTATCTGCCTTTTAAAAATTACATGACAATTATGTCGTTACATAATGACATGAATAAGGTTGAGCGTACATGAAATTGTTGGTGCATACAGGGCTTGTTGGCTAGAGTAAGATCTGACTTCATTTGGTTCTTAACTTTGTAATCATGGACAAAATACATGTTCTGAACCTCATTTTTTTCACCTGTTAAGCTGGAAACATTAATACACCTGCTCCTGAGAGTTGTTTGTAATTCACACCATGACTGCCACCTATCACAAGGTACTCAAATTTACACAAGGGTGCAAAGGTATCAATCTTTTTGTTGTTGTTGTATATTAAACTGTGTTAAGGATTCTACCCTTAACATGTATTTGAGTGTTTGTTACATACCAGACTCTGTTGGGCCCTGAAACATTAGGTGAATGAGATGTCTACATCTGTTCACTTGAAAACAAGCTTGGAGATGATTAAAATGGAAGTACAGAAGAGCATGTTCAGGACATAAGACCAGTTCGGCCTTTCCTGAGGGCAAGAAGTGTGAGCACCCTTTGGGCAGGATAAGCCTGGGGTCTTTTGACCTTTTCATTGGAGAAGACTATCTTGCCCACATCCTTCCTATACTGCAGATTTTCAGAGGGTGCCACTGTTCTAACTCAGCTCTCCACAGGAGGTGAGACCCATTCATGGTTATCAGTCCTGTTCTGTGCCCAGCTGTCAAGTGAGAAGCAGGCTCTGCAGATGGGCTGCCCATCTCCTTGCTTTATTAGCTAGGCCCTGACTTGCTCTAGCAAAGATGTGATGAATGCATCCTTACCCTGTTGTGAACTGTTCCTTTGATGGTTTTCAGAGCCTCAATGTGGATGCAGGTACCAACACTGTTTCTGCAGTGGCCCCCAGAGAGCCCTCAGTGCCAGCCTCTTGTGCTGTATCAGCAGCTTTTGAAAGATCCCCTTCCCCGGCCCTCTTACCTGAGTGAGTACTGATGCTTTACTAACACTTTGGTGTTTACTGATTTCAGTGACCTACAATGTTGCATGAGACTCAATATCAGGTGGCATTTTTACAGGGATCCCAAGGTGGTAGAAAAGCAGAGGGATACTCACAGCGTGGACAGACTCCCTTCTGCCATTACCACAACCGCGTGTAAATCGGTGCAGGTGAACGGAGCTGCCACGGTATGTAGTGCCTCATGCCTGCTTCCTTCTCAGTAGCCACAGCTCTTGTGTGATAGAGATGGCACTCTTCTATGTTAGCTCTGATTAGTCCAATCTCTTGGTGGGTCTTTACTTGTGTTTATGGGTATTGTGTTTTCTGTGCAGTATACCTAGCATGTTTGCTAATAGTTTTTCCCTGCTCTGGTTATTTCTCACTTTCACAACCATGTAGTCCTTTTATTTTGATATCAGTTGATGGAGATCTCTTGAATAGAAACAAGATTCTAGTTCCTGTTCTGTCATGGAATTTATGACCAAACATTTATCATAAAGTATTAAGTCACACAGATAGGAGGAGCAAGGCGAGCGCACCCCACACTGGCCTGTTTCCTCGTGGATCTGGCAATGTCCAATCCCATTGATGCTTGCTTCCCTACAGCTTCCCTCTCTGTGGATCCAGCCTCTTTAATTCTAATTTGTATTTTCCTTAGTTTGATCTTGGGTGAACTTTTCTCATTAGAGTTAAGAGTTAAACCTTACTCCCTATTGGGCTTGAGTCTAACAAAAAATGTTTCTTATTAGTTAAAATTAGGTGAGCAAGTGGTTTTTGTAGGTAGAGTATTTTAAAGTTTTCTGTTATTTGACTTTTCATGCTTCCACTTATCTAAAAACCCTATTACACTTTCTTTTAAGTTTTAAATTTTGTTTTCCTTGTTCTTGGAGAGGTTTTCACTATAACATGCATGTGCTCACCAGAAAGACAGAGACAGAGAGACAGAAGGCGAGAAATCACCCCCCAGGGGGGGATAGCCACGCAGCAATCCCTTCTTCTCCATTCTCCTCTCAGGATCTTCGATACGCACTCACACGTACCTGGTTTGAGTTTAAGCCACCAGGTCTGGGACTCGAACCATGGTCGATTATACATGGGAGTCCAGCGACATAGCCTTTACGCCAACTGCTGGTCCCTGTTTTCATTGTTCTTAAGCACACAATTCCAGTCCTTTATAGTTTGAAATGTGTAAAAACATTGTTTAAAGACTTTTTGAAATTCATCCATCTGTTGCAGGCTCCTGTGTTTAAAGGAAGCTGGGCAAGAGAAAGATTTATGTCTTTTTCTAGGGTGTGTTTCTTTTTATTCCTATGGTCCTTCTCTTAGGCTTGGTTAAGAACAGTGACAAGCTGAATGTGGGACTGTGTCTCAACATTCTTCATTATGAGTTTTTGTTCAATTTTATCCATTTAAAAATTTTTTTAAGTTCATTTATTTATGTTTTCAGTAAACAAAAAGAGACAGCCCCCTCAGCATCACAATCCACCCCTAGCTCCAGCCAGCCCCTGATCACAGGCATGGATACGCCCAGCGTACTCAGAGTTCCGTACACAAACTCAGAACCTTCCCATGTGGGTCAGTCTCTAAGAGGGTCTTGTTTGCCACTGTCCAGCCTTCTCTGATTTTATCCATTTTAAAGGAATACTTCTAGAGTGTCTTAGAGAAAAAGTTACACTGAAAGGGAAGCTAAATCATGAATTTTATCAACTTTTAAAAAGTAAAAATACTTAAAAGGATGGAAATCTAGTTATAGCTGAAAAATTTGTTTATTTTTATGTTAAGTGAACTTATTTCCCATGGCATCCTTAGACTCATCATTTTATGCATGTAATTCAATATTTGTCTGTTTCTAGGAATTAAGAAAGCCCAGCTATGCAGAGATTTGTCAGAGAACAAGTAAAGAACCACCTTCTTCCCCATTGCAACCCCATAAAGAACAAAAGCCAAACACTGTCAGTTGTGGAAAGGAGGAAAGGAAGATCACTGAGCCCGTGGAGAGATACAGGGAGCCGCCTGCCCTCAAGTCCAATCCTGGAGCCCCCAAAGACCAGAGGAGGCAGCCAGGGCGCCGACCCTCGCCCCCAGCTGTTGGGAAGCGTCTCAACAGAGAACAGAACACTCCCCCTAAGTCTCCTCAGTGAAACTGTATGTCTGGGAGGGATCGCCAAGAGCTGTATTAACCACAAACAAAACACTTCCCACTCAGTCCAAGAATGAGTCGCTGGTTAGGAGCTTGCAGTGTCTGAGGCCATGGGAGGCCTGCAAGTTATTTTTCTTCTAAGAGTTGGATTCTCCCCCTCTTGAAAAAAATCTGTTTTTTCAGGATTTAATTAATATAAACCTTATTTTAGGTTGGTGCTTAACTGGAGGTGATGCAGAAGTCTGATTTTTTTCAGGATAGAAAATGCATTTATCCTAACAAATTGATATTTTTTATTAAGCCTCCATGTGGCTCTGGATGCAAGCTATATATAGTGAGTTTTTCTAAATTAAAGGAACTATGCTACTTCGTTTTTTAAATAACTGGCCTGCAAGTGCAAATCTGTAGAACATCCCAGCAGATAGGTGAGGGCTGATGGCACTGCAGAGGAATGGCTGGCCTGGGAGCTGCACTTTCATCTGAACCGTCAAACAGGCAATGCCAACATTTAAAACATAGATAATTCGTTTTTTATCTAGTGGGCAGAATGACCCTGCAGAGGACACCTAGAGGGACCTGTAAACTTTGAGCTTTGATGTACTGCAAGCAAGTAACCAGCCTCTCACTCCAGGTTCAAGTGGCTATTATGTAAAATAAATTCAAAGCACATTGTGAATAGAACCTAAATGAAAATATAAACTTGTTGCCCGCTGACATGTTACCACAAAATTGTACCATGATGTTGTTTTGGTCTCTGTGAGCTGGCAGCCCTGGCCCCAGCCGAGCGCCTGCTGTGTGCATTTTTCTGTCCCTGTCCTCCAAGTGCTCTCACCGGAGGGGCCACGTCTTGAGTCTCTACGCCATGTGGGCACCTTCCTGTACCTCTGCGTCTGCACGTGGATTTAAGTTGTGGATTTGTGAGAGAATGGTGTGTTTGTGGTTTTTCCCCTCTTTGGCTGGTGGAGGACAAAATTCCTGCTTCTTTTACCTCCAAGGTGAGGGTCTCATTGATACACTTTAGAAGTGCTACACTTCTGAAGAGCAAGAATGCACTAAAGTTAGCAAGTTTATAATAAAGTTAAATATAAATTATTTTGTTTTAAAATGCTTAAAACTTTTCTTTAAGTATTCTAAGCAACAGACATTAAAATAAGAATATTTCCTGCTAAATGTAACCATACAGTTTATTCCACAAAATGTTATTTAACAAGACTGAGGGTTTTTCTTTAAAAAAAAAAAAATTATTTCCATCCAATATTTAAAGACTTGAATTTTATTTAAACTTGAAAATGACTTTGCCTTAACTTTTGTATAAGACAGTTAGAGTTGGTGGAGAACTGGCCCCTGGGTGGCACGAGTGGGTCACAGCTGCTCAGTTACCATGAGGATCTTGTTGCTAGTTCTACTGAGTAAGCATACTGTAGTACAGGAACTAGCAGTCGTTTTGTAATATACCTTACAGATCTTAAACAGTTGATCTTTTTTCAGATTGTTGAAAAATCCTGTAAATGCAAATAGTCGATACTGTATTAAATATGTGCACTTAGGAGTGTGCTCTGCTTGTACAGTTGTAAATAATCAGAACATATTAAAAAGGTACCCTACAGAGAAAAATCTGATAAAAATTATTGATATATTATAAATGTTGCTGTTGAGCTGGATGTAGATAAACTAAATGTTGTGGTTTGAATATTATTTTAATTTGTGAGGTTTCTTTTCTTTTTTTCTTATACTGGTGTGTTGAACTGATTCTGCCTCTTTGCTGCTAAAGGGAAATGGAAAGTCTTATTAAAAGCCTTCAGATGTTTTCATACTCTTTTTTAAAGTATGAAAATACATATTAATCATATCTAATGTGAAAGGGTTTTTAAGTATAATATAGAAAGCAGAAACTGGCAGGATCATCAAGTGAAAAAGAAAAAGTAATAAACTAATTAAAAGTAGCTAAGCATGATTCACCCTGCCAGGGAAAACACAGCTGATATGTGACCCTTTCCTCCAGAGCAATTGTCATTATTCATATATATAAATATATATATATAAATACACACCGTGTTGATAATTTCCAGATGCCTGTTAAAAGAACATGAGAATTTGTTTGTACTGGTCAGATCACTGACCAGAAAAGTTAGAAATAATTGACTACTATACAAATAAGTACTGTAAAAGACAGGCAGGCTCTGAGACTATATCCCTTTGTGTCACATCTTTGCTAGAGGAAGGGTCAGGGCATTGTCAGCCATCCTCATCCTCAAATCCCAATGCCCGCCTAGCAAGTGCTTGGTTTTTAATAATGAGGAATCCTTTCCCCCAAGGCGCAAGCATTGCAGCACAATGATGTGTGTGTGGTTAGAGCCAGCTGTAGTCCTTTGCTCTGTTTGTCAGCAGGCAGTGGGAAGGCAGGTGGCATATGGGGGAGCTGGTTACCACATGGAGGCGGGTCCTGGTGGGCTCTGCTACTGTGTGGATGAGGTGAGCACATGGGCATTTCTGTTTAGCCAGCAACTGTTGCATCAAGAGCTAAAACCTTGCTCAGATGTGATTTTTATAGCATTCTTTTTAATTAAGCAAAGGTGATATGCCAAGTAGCTATATAATGTCAAAAAAAAAAATCCCTTTCTGATACTACTTCGAGATTTTCCACTCAGAAATAAAATGGGAGTTATCCCAATATGAAGCTGTGACAGCGCATGCCAACAGTTGCTATATCACATTACAGCTATTGATATGTGGTTCCATACATTTCTTAAAAATTTAACTCATGCTTTCCCCTAACAGTATCTCCAGTTACAGAATCAGAGATACAGTGGTCACAAGGATGTTTTACCTTGTAAAATTGTGTGATGAACTTACCATTTGGAAATATGGGAATAGGAATCTGTCCCCACTTCAGCAGACGTGAGTTTCAGTAGTGTGATTGCCCTCTCTGAGTTGGTGTCATGGGGTTTCCAATAGGTCCTCCGGTCATTGCGTCACTGGTTGTCACATCTTACATTGCTGTATTAGTCGGGATTTCTGCAGTCTACGTCCATTGTATTACAACAGGTGCCCAATGGTGCACACCTGTCTCATCCCCCCTTCGTGAGCCACAGTGACACAGCAGCAGCAGACAGTTGGAGGTCTGAGGAATGCTGGCAGCTGCCAGTTCACAAGTGGGGTGTGATGTGGAGCTTTCCTGAGGATTTCGTTTTCATTCTACTTCTTTTCATTAAGACTGGAATCAAGCTTACATGTATAAACTATTGGTAATTTAAGTTTCCTTTTGTGTCATTCAGTGTAAAATGTCTAATTTGAAAAAAATGTAGGTTATGAAAAATAAAGATTTAGGCACTGTTGAGTTTTTCTTTTGTTTTTTTTTTATTAAAATTTCCTTCAAGAATACATCTTTTTTAAAAATAATTTTTGTTCCTATCAGTGTGCACAGGAAATAATTATGAATCTCAAACCTCACTTGGGTTATAAAGGCCATGTGCAAGGTGACAGCCACCCAAGGTATCCCCTACGTTTTAGTGTTCAGAGCAGGCCTTAAAATCAAGTGTCTGTGAGCAGACAGTCATTAAATCCAAAATTTGCCACAAAAATAATCTCTGTGTCAGGATTTTTTTCTTTTGTTAAAATGGCAGTGTCTCCATAAAGTTATTTGGAACAAGTGGCAGGTCAGCATGGTTTTCAGATCATTAGTTGAGTCTCAAAAATAAATAAATAAATAAATAATTGGCTTACCCATAAATAATGGTGATGCTGTTGATGCCAACACTAGAAAAAGGCTGAAGATGGATGAAACTTCTTTGTATGTTGTTAATTTACTGGACAAAATGGTCTAAGATGTTAATTGACTGATTTTCCTCTTCTATGAATTGCCTTTTCATATCTTTTTTCCATTTTTCTACTGGGTTCTTTTTCTTATTGAATTGATATTCTGTATCTGTTCTGGCTACTAATTCTTTGTTATATATGTTACAAATATTTTCTCTCAATCTACCAGTTGTCTTAACTTTATTTAGAGTAGTATCTTTTATAGTTTTAATTATTATGTAGTAAAATTTATCGATCTTCTTCATTATGGTTTGAGCGTCTTGGTTTTGTTTAAGTCTTTTCCTATTCCAGAGTCAAAGATAATTTTTATATATACATATAAATGTCTCTAATCCAGCTGGAACTGATTTTTTGTGTATGGTCTGAATTAGTAACCCAATTTTACTTTTGCTATATGGAAAGTTTCCTTTTTCAGTATTACTAATTCATTATTTCCCCACTGATTTGGAATTCCATCATTGTTATTCACAGTTTCCACCTATGCATGGATCCTTATCTGTACTATATATACTTCTGCTTCTGTAGCAACCCTCTCTATTCAGTTCACCATCATTCCGCATTACTAAGAATTTACTTCATAGAACTCATCACAATTGCAATTAAACATGCTCCATGAGGGCAGGAGTTGGGCCTGTCTGGATCACCATGCTATCTCCTGTTCTTCGCACATGGTCTGCAACATATTTTTACCTTAGTTATGTATTTATTGAGTATGTATTTGCAGCACCACTGGCCTTGGAAATCAAACTATATAGCCACATAATCCACCCCAAAACCCAGTGGGTTAAAAGTGATAACCATACATCTGCTAGGCTTGGCTAGATGGCTTTGCTGGGGTCAGCTGGTCTGAGCCTGCTTGAGAGCCAAGGCATGTTCTCTTCCTCTAGGATGTGTTTGTTTAAATCTTTCTTGCTCCCAGAAGTTGCTTGAAGTTATTTCACTTCTTTCCTTGGTATATCCGTACTTTTTTTTAATGTTGAAGTCCTATGTTTCTCGAAATCTATGGATGAAACTAACGATTGAACAAGTACCACCTGCAGGCTGCCATGTATTACTGGGCCTAGTTTGGGTACAAGCAAGACGATTTAAGTAAATTATCGGTTACTTAAGATTGAGGTATGCGGGTTTTTCTTTATACCTCATCCACCATGGAAAAGTGGGACAGTAAATCAAAGAGGGAAGTACAACAAGAATGTTTAGTGACTTGCCAGAGACCACCATTGTGTTTTCAAGTGTTGATGAAATTCACTATGTACAAGTCAACTGAACACGCCCAGAGCCTGTGCTCAGAGGGAACACTCAACAGAAGCAGAGTACTGCCTTCACAGAGCTGGTTGTGCAAGGCACACCAGGAATGAGTCAGAGGAGAGGGTAGTTAGTAGTTATCTGGACCCACAGACGGTGACAGTGGCTCCTTTTGGAGTATCTTGACCTGAGGAAAGGCTCTCTGGTTAAGGAAGAGTGACCACCAGGCCCCCTGGGCCAACGGGTGAGTGCTCAGAAGGTTGTGATACAGCCACAGGTTTCCCCTTTCTGAGGCCCTAAATAAGTGATGTCAACCAAGAGCAGCCAGCTCACATAGCTGAGGTCTGGTATTTGCTTGTACAAGTGTGTGCCTGTGTCTGCCTACAGTAACACACAGGCACTAATATTCAGTGTATGACAGACTAACATGCGACGTGTGTGGGTATTTACAATTAAGTCAACGGGGAGGGCAGCATTATTGTCAGCCCTGTTAGAGGCTTCTGCCTACCCTGTCCTGCGCAGGCTCTGCACAAGAGCTTGTCAACAGGTATCTGGCAGGCTGGCAGGTTGCGTGGTGGTTAAGGCACTGGATCCTACATGGCCACCTTTGCAGTCCAAGTCCTGGACCTGACAGCTTGAAAAATACCGGACACATGTGCATGCCCCAAATCCTGAAAGAATGGAGAAGGGATTGTGGCATGACCATCCACCCTGGGGGTGGGAACGGATTTCTCTCTTCCCCTTTGTCTCCTGCGAGTGCACACACCCTAAGGCAAAAACCTAAACAAAAATAACAGATTTCTGGCTCCATCCCAGGCCTCCTTTTAAGTCTCCCAAGTGATTGCTGTGGTTAGGTGGTCCGAAAGATGAAAAAAATATGCTGTCCTGCAGCTGCCATAGCCATAGCCACCAATGAAAGGTCACATAAGTTCCTGTGTGACCTGCAGCTGTCCTGGGACAGAAGGCCCGAGCTCACCCTGTCCTATAAGGAAATGAGCTGTGAAATGACAGAGCAGGGCACCAGGGAGGGGCTGAGAGAGTCCACGAGCAGCTACCAGTGGAAGCACACGTCCTTTTTTTTTGAATGGCCTGGGATGAATCTTTATTTTTTTGTCCTCTGAAGCCAGAAGAACCTAACTAAATATCAAGAAAACAAACACAAAAAACAAGTGGACACTATAAAAACAGCAATGTGAGAGACTTAGAATTGGCTGTTAGAACCTACATACTATTGGGACCCTCCACATCCTTTCATAGGCCACTCTCCCAGCATGTCCAGGGGAAGGGCAGCCGTTTAGGCCATCAGCTGTCTCCTCAGACCCAGGTCATGAGACCATTCAGAGTCTGGGAGCAGCCACTCTGAGACCAGGGAAATGACGGCAGAGGAGTTGATGGGTAGTTTCCATGCAGTAAGCTGTTAGAATTAGGAAGGTTAAGGTACTGGACTCCCACACCTGGCAACTTGAAAAAAGCACACGGGGCAAGTGTGTGTGCATGCGCAAAACCTCAGGAGAACGACTGATTGCCTTGTGTCCATCTTCCCCCTGTTCCCACCCCTGTGGGTGATTTCTCACTTTCCCTCTTATCATCTCCCTCTGGTGACCACACACACCATAGAGTCCCCCCACCACCCC